CCGATAGTTAGCTCCCTTTGCTACTGTGTTCTAAGACACCAATAGTTATCTCTCTTTGTTACTGTGTTCTAATACACCGATAGTTACCTCCCTTTGTTACTGTGTTCTAAGACACCAATAGTTACCAACCTTTGCTCTAAGACACCAATAGTTACCTTCCATTGTTACTGTGTGTCAAGAATCTGATTGGATGTACTGTGTGTCAAGAGTCCTATCGGATGTACTGTGTGTAAAGAGTCTGATCGGATATACTGTGTGTCAAGAGTCTGATCGGATGACACATGTTAGAGAGTAGGCTGTCTGTTTGTCTGTTGTAGCTTTTGCTTTTTCTTGAGTAAAGATCTAGATGGGTTTTATTACGCCCCTCATCGACACAATTACAATTTATATCATTTTGGAGGCGGGTTTCCAAACCTACCTGTCATAGCCAACCCTGGCTGAGAGGATTTTTAACTTACCAGCAGAAAGACCGAGATACTCCCCCCTCCCCCCTTAAAAAAAAATAAAAAATTCTCCCCACTCAGGAATCAATGTCGGGTCTTCTGCTTGCAACAGGGAAATGCCTAACCACTACAACACTGATGCTGGTGACATCTGTCATGGCGTCATCCTTTCATTGTTTCCCCCCCCCCCCTGAATAGGAACTAGCACAGTGGTTCTCTTGGTTCTTTAAGCGGTACATTGCTTAAATTATGCAACGTTGAAGATTGTCCGTTCCAGCCACTTGGCGCAGTACTGCGACAGGCACGAGAAGTCTGTTGCAGTCACTCTCCTGGCTGGGTGACAAGATGGGGGTGTATAGTACTGCTGGCTGAGTGACTCCAATGTTAAAAAAATTTGCACTGAAAACAAAACAACACAACAACAACCGAACAACTCATAAAGACAAACATTCTTGACGGCAGGTTTTGATAGTATGAAGCAATAGCTACAATCAACCCCCCACCCCCCCCCCCTCCCCCTTGGAAAGTACGTAATTCATTTTTATGTAGAGAGTAGGGATGACACGGATCCAGAGACTTTAGTAAGCAAATATTAGTGAAAACAATTTGAGCTTACTGTCAAAGACAAGCAAAGAAATGAATGACGAACCAAGATCGTCTTGTCTGTTTCAAGTCTGAGGCACTTACGAAGCTGATGATGATGATGATAATGATGATGATGATGATGATGATGAAGATGATGATGATGATGATGATGATGATGTCTTGATTAAGACTTTGATCCTATACCTCCACCTGTTCTCAAAATCCAATGATGGGTTACTTGGAGGTAACACAGCAGCATACCCGAGATACCAAGAGGTGCAACTTACTTACTTTTTACTTTCACTTTTCATCCTGTTGCCGTTAAGTGCCGAGGGAAGATGCAGATTTCTATGGTAGGCCAGCTCCGCAACTCTTTCTGTTGGGAGGTGCGGCACCTGGATGTAAATGTAGGTTTGTTTTTACGCCTCATCGACACCATTAGATAATTTTAGAGGCGGACTTCGATCAGGGCTGAGAGGTACATGTACGAGAGGTACAGGTATATACAACGCCACACATCACAGAGAGGATTACATCACCCATACAAACAGACGGGTATTTGATGTTATAATTGTCCCTCTCGAATCGGCTTCGAGGATCCTGTGTCAGAATCTCCGCAAGCTTAACAGGATTCAAAAGGAATACTCGGGGCTAGCGATCAGGGAGTAGAATGCTGCATTTTTAAAGATCATAATCTGTTTGCCAACTTGCTACCTACAACCCACTTACAAATACCCCAACCAACATACTTGCCACTACACTGTCTTTCCACTCAGCTCCTCTTGACACTTGTTTTGGCCCGATACAATAGGATAACACTAACAACATCACCTTAGCAGAGACTGTGCCCACCATTTCGGAACTTTACGGTGACCGTAAAGATGGTTTTAGTAGGAAACCAGAAAGAGAGTGCCCACGTCCCTCGTGACTCATTGGAGCTGAGGAAAATAGGACTAACCCTAACATTACTTAAACACAATCCCACACCATCACTCATCACCACCATTATAATATCTAAATTCATCAGCGTTCTCAGATCAATGACTTACATATATGATCCTGGAATCTCTCTCTGCTGTAACAGTTACTTGTTATACAAAGTTAGCACTTAATACACTATTGGACACTATCATACGCACTTTTGTCTACTAATCAGATGGCGTCAATCTCATACAAATGGGCGAAGGATTTAAAAACATGCTCCACTCGGGAATGGAACTCTGCTCTCGTGAGTGCGACAGTGAGGAGCCTAACCACTGCACCACAGACACAGGTGGCAATGAAGAGTTGAGCAGAAGGCGTCATTCTGAGCTCTACATTTGACTGTTTCAAGTACAAAAGTGTATTATGTTAAAGTCGTGCATTACTTACCACATTTAATGACGTGCTGGAAAAGGGTAGGATTGAAAATATCAATACAACCCTAAAAGGAGAAGATGGAGATATTTGGGACATGTTTTGAGAAAGCCAGAGAAGACTGCCTTATCAGACATTGTATTTGGAGACCAAATGAGGAGGGGGCAAAGAAGGTGAGGGGGTGGGGGCAGAAAGTGGATACGAAAGCAGACCCCAAAACGTTGTTAGAGAGCAGGAAAGGATGTTAAAGGAGACAATTTTAGAGAGAAAATTTTCCGTCGCTAACCAGATTCGAACTTGGGACCTATTGAGTGAAAAGCAAACACCTTAACCCTATAGAACACAAGAGCACTCTCCCCC